TACACGTACCTCCGGCACCCCTACATGGTTTGCTTCTTGAAAAGAATCCACATAGAAAAGAAAAAGAAGAAAATATAGAGAAAGCTGATAAACTACAAGAAGATAAGATGAACGCTCTCGTAAGATGAAATTACAGTTCTTGTTCATTCATCACAAGAAATGTTGATGGCGTTTTCCCTTTTAAGCTCTTTGCTTAATTATAAGAACCAAACCATGGAGACATGGGGGAGAGAAGTTTTGTTCCACTTCATCTCATCCTCGTCACTACATGCAGGTGAGTGGTCAACTTCACGCCCTGGTCGCCTTATCACAGCGGAAAGAGCCTCCCGGTGCCCAATTCAGAGAAGGATGGATGGGTCCCAATCCAGGTCTGGAGGAGGTGGTGAACAACAACATCTCCTCTCTCAACAGGAATAGAACAACGGTTCTATGGTCGTCCGGCTTGTAGTCTAGTCACAGTGCCGACTGAGCTACGCCCGGCTCTATAATGTATTTTTTCTTTGTGGGTTATTTTAAAATGTTTTGACTATACAGCGCTTAATGGTAGAATGACGGGTGAACTGTAATGGATTCGAAAGGAAGTTGTGATGCCCAAATCGAGGTACTATCCTGACAATTGTCTTTTGGAGCTCAGAAAAACCACGAATAACCCTTGTCCAACCAGTGTTCTGTTTCTTAATAACAGTTTATAGTGTCTACCTAAATAAATAGGGCATGTAGCACGAATGGGGGGAGAAGAGGAATGCATATAGGATATTGGTGGGAAAGTCAGAAGGAAAGAGACCACTGGGAAGACCAAGGCGTAGGTGTGTGAACAATATTAAAACGGATCTTAGAGAGACAGAATGGGATGGATTGGATTAATCTGGCTCAGGATAGGGACTAGTGGAGGACTCTTGTGAACACGGTAATGAATCTTCGGGTTCCATAAAATGCTGGGAAATTCTTGAGTAGCTGCAGAATTGGCGGCTCCTCAAGAAGGGCTCAGCTCCATGAGTAAGTAAGTACCTAAATAAATAACATTTTAATGTAATTCTTTAATACTGTGGCGTATTTGCCCAATGCAAGAACGGTTGAGCCATAGAAACAACGGTTTCTAAATAACACGCGCACCAAGAATAGAACAACGGGGTTATGCAACCCGCCTCTAAACAGCGGCTCGATAAACACACTTCCGGGCAGGCGCAATGACGTCACATCCCAACAGTGCTTAGCTATCAAATGATTAGTGTTTTCTGTGTGATCTGCGCTAGGCAACGATAGAACTGTGTTTTCTGCGTTGTCCGTGTCGCGGAAGCGTGTCGTTGCCTAGAAGCGAGTTGCATAACCCCGTTGTTCCGTTGTTGCGTACGTGTATTACTTTCTGTTTCTGTGGCTCAATCGTTCTTGCATGGGGCAAATACGCCACAGTACTATTGACTGCATTTGTAGGTATGTGAGTGAGTGAACGTGTGTGGGGGGGTGAAGGAGGTGTTTTTGTGTATGCTATCGTAATATATTTTATTTTGTCTTTTAAATAACAAAAATTGACAGACGTCAAATATGAATTTCTAATTAGAAATATCCTTTCAAGGATGGACCCTATATTTTTAGCAATAAATACGCTGAAGAGAACGCCTTTGATTTCTGCGTTTTCGAAACTACGCGTCATTTTTCAGGAACCTACCTAACCTTCAGATCGGTGCACGGGCTTTCAAGGACGTTCGTTCGTGTAAATGAACTCCGGATATTCATTTGTTGCCAAAAGCAACTGCTTGACGTCAGAATCAACCAACAGGAAAGATGCTGCACTGTGTCATGAACTGTTCCTATTTAATTGCACAGTTAAGGAAAAATAAAATATAAATTATATATTTTAACGGGGGGGGGCACGTAGTAGCGTAGTTGGTTGAGGCACTATGCTACAGACAGGAAGGTCGCGGGTTCAAATACCGATGAGGTCATTGGATTTTTCCTAATGAAATGGCACCACACACACTCACCAACAGCGAAAAAAAAAATTCAAAACCTCACCATAAAACCGAAAAATCGTGGCAACTATCTTCCAGGGGCCACTTCTCGCCAATTTTTTGCCTCGAGGGGACACTATCAATACTAGTGCTTACTGTGTGACGTTCAAGAAACTACGTCGGGGAATGCTGACGCAAGGAGTCCGCTTATTGGGCGATAAGGCCCGTCCGCACACTGCTCGCGCAACGGAGGAGTTTTATTGCAGGCCTTCGAGTGCGAGGTACTCGCACGTCAATCACACAACCCATGCCTTGCACCAAGAAACTATTACCTGTTTTCTAAATTGAAGGAAAGTCTGGCTGGAAAGACTTTCTCGGACGATGAGGTTCAAGACGTGGTGATGACATGGCTACATGGCTAAGAGAGCAGGCGGGAGATATATACGACGCTGGAATAATAATACTAATAATAAATTCGTTCCCAGGCTCACTAAGTGCAATGCGCTCCATGCTGACTATGTTGAAAAGCATGCTGTAAAAGTGCTATAAGTGAATACAAAAAGTGCTTTCCAAATATGTTCTGGACTTTGTGTCTTTACTTTCCAAATAACCTTCGTACGTCAATACTGAAACGCCTACAAACTCTCCTTACCCCTGCTTCTTCACGAAGTACGCTACCCTGTTTGATTTTTACTGGAGGAAAATGTCACCTTCACCTTCTAGGTAGAAGAATAAGTCAAGCACAGCTCTGCTCGGTACCTGCTTCATGCTAATTTCTTGCTTGGCTTGTTTTTTGACCCTGAAGTTGGAGGCGACATGTTCCACCGAAACGTAGGTTGACTTTCAACGGACTACACGGTGTTGCATCCAAAGAGACTGAACTCTTCAGAGAGAGAATCCTGGATCCTGACTCCCACTGTTTTAAGTTTATGCTTGTATGTTGCAACAGAACAGACCCAGGGTGTGAAGGCTGTGCGCATGCGTGACGCTGCGTGACGAATGTGGCTGTGCTCTTTTCAGGACAAGTTTAATGCACACCATTATTAGTTCTTTCTCTTTCCAGCGTGTCCAATTGAAAACGTCATGCATTGTTGATTAGTGTGTGCAACAAACTGCTGTACACACTTTTGTTGTAAATTAACATGGACAGACAAAAAGATGAATTACCTATGTTTCATGAGGCTCGGGTAAGCGCTGTTTGAAAGAGCAGAGAGTATAAATTAATCGTTCCATAAAATTTCATTAATTATCGATATCAGACCGAACTTTAAATACAAATTTCACGCAGCCGCAATTTCGTTATCATATAATTGACAAAAGAATCCATGCATAAAAATTGCATATTACGAATATATAATATAATTTCAGTATGTATCACGCTCTGTTTACAAGTTTGTGCGTTCGTCATGTTGATATTAATGGCTGCAGGAAATTAAGAAGTGCGAATTTGGAGTAGCCTTCAATGGCATAATATCCACACGAAATTTAATCATAATCCGTACAGCAGTTCTCGAGTTAAGAATGCGGACGGACATAGAGAGACAACCAGCTCTACATGCGTTCATATAGTGAACATCGTTAAGAAATGAACAACTTAGAAATTCTACACACCAATATATAAATCGGTCTAGAAGTAAATGTAGATAAAATCAAGTGTATGAATATACATATAAGATGGGCAGGGCATCTAGCACGAATGGGTGAGAAGAGGTATGTTGATCCTTCGGATATTGCCCGCAATCAGAGTGCTAGCATGTTACGAGGCGTATCAGCACATGAAGAAGCAGAAGAAGGCGGAATAAGAAATGAAGGAGTGATAATAATTACAATAAAGACGTGTAATAACATCAGATAGATTTAGGAACGACGATAAGAAGTCAAAACCTGATTCAGGGTGAAAATTAAGAGAAGATCGAACTCGGGAAATGCTTCCTACCATTCAGTCTACAACCTTTTGTCTTCTCGTCTGCTGTCAAAAAACATATAAATTAGAATACGTAATACTATAATGTTGCCTGTGGTTCTGTATGGGTGTGAAACTTGTTCTCTGACAATTAGGGAGGAACAGAGACTGAGGGTGTTTGAGAACAGGGTGTTGAGGAGAATATTTGGACCGAAGAGAGATGAAGTGACAAGAGGTTGGAGAAAACAGCATAATGAGGAGCTTCGTAACTTGTACTCTTCGCCAGATATAATTAGAATGATCAAGTCTAGGATGATGAGATGGGCAGGGCATGTAGCAAGAATGGAAGAGAAAACAAATGCATATAGGATATTGGTGAGAAAACCAGAAGGAAAGAGACCAGTAGGAAGACCGAGGCGTAGGTGCGTGGACAATATTAAAATGGATCTTAGAGAGATAGAATGGGATGGTATGGATTGGATTGATCTTGCTCAGGATAGCGACCAGTGGAGGGCTCTCGTGAACACGGTAATGAACCTTCGGGTTCAATAAAATGCTGGGAAATTCTTGAGTAGCTGCAGAATTGGCGGCTCCTCAAGGAGGGCTCAGCTCCATGAGTAAGTAAGTAAATAACATCAGATATCGAAGGATTAATAAGGCCTGAGTTAATGCGGTTTCATATGCTGGTCTAGGAAGACGATCCCGTGTATTCTCGAATGCAAATGCGGCTCCTCTGAAGACAGAAAACAACAAAGAGGGAATGGAAGTTCAGGCAACTTAGAAACTTTAAGTATTTCCAACGGAAGTAGTCCACTCATGTTTCCTGCATGCAGTTATTCCTTCTCTCGCGGGTTCTCGATTCTAGGTACGTAATATAGGATTATTCCAAGGTCGGGGAACCCCACGAGTCGTTTTCTAATAGGATGGAGATGAATCAGAGGGAAACCGCCTCACAGTGTTGCAGACGCACACGAAACCGCATCTCTGGAAGCCTTGATGTCATAAGAAGTGGCGATTTCTAATCTTCATATGAAGGGAAAGACCCTGAGGTTGTCAGAAGTAGGGGTCCGGAACCTGTCCAATGGCCTTCAGTACTGAACCTTTATTAGAGAAGTGAAGTTTGAAACTCAAGGCATTTGTAGGTTAGCTCTTGTTTGCTGGACGGCATATGGTCAAGCCATCGACCGTAGCAGCAACCATCAGCACGTGTTAACACTCCTTGGCCGTGTTTAACAAGTTGCTCAGTTGACCTGCTGATTCAGAATGCCAGCTTCTTCAGGTATCATTACTTTGACTCAGTCTCTGGAAAACCTGAATGGAAAACATGGGATCTCTGGATCATACGAAGATATGACAGCTGGAGTTAATGTCGCGGTTCCTTCTCTTTCGCCGTCTCCTGGATACGTCACTGAGAAGAAGTCAACCAGAAGTGTGGCATGGTTTGCGAGTCTTCCAGACAGACAACGGCACTCTCAGTTCCTGAAGGAAGCCGTCGACCTAATGCTGGACAAGGCCGTGTTCGATGCCGCCAGTAGAACCAATCGCGTCGTGGAGTGGCGATCACCCGAGGAACTGAAGAAACTGATTGACCTGGACTTACCTGCTGACCGAGTCAGCCATGACAGGCTGCTGCAGCTCCTGAAGGACATCATTCAGTATAGTGTGAAGACGGGACACCCCTATTTTGTCAACCAGCTTTTCTCCAGGTAGGCTCTGAGACTGTAGCGATGGGGATAGAGTAGTGTGTAAAATCAACGTACAATTGGGGAGTTGTTTTTTGTTACTGATTCTATGAAATTGAAAACTGTGAACTTGGGGTGACCGCCTCTGTGGTCTAGTGGTCAGAGTTCCTGGCTACAGATCCACAGGTCCCGGGTCCGATTTCCGGGGCTACCAGATTTTCTGAGAAGTAGTGGCTCTGGGACGGGGTCCACTCAGCCTCGTGAGGATAATTGAGGATCTACTTAAACGGAAAAGTAGCGGCTCAGGTCTAGAAAACCGAAATTAAGGACCGTGGGGATTCGTTGCGCTGACCACGCGACATCCTATATCCGTTAAAGTTGACACCAACTTAGCCGACAAGAGGCGGTCGCTCGGTCGGTATAGTTCGCTTGCGGAATAAAGCCACGGGGTTTTTGTTTAGTCTAAACTTTGGGTGTCCTCCAACAGTGCAATGTTTATACCAAGTCCCGTGAAATTTTTTCAGTTGGTTCTAAACTTGAATTGAGGACACAAACACACAGAGAGTATAGTGGTATCATAAGCTTACTTTTCCCTCAAGTAAGGAAAGTACACTAGAAAAATACATGATGTTACATATATTCACAAATCATAAATTCTACTTAGGCCTATAAATATTTTGACACCTGAGTCACCAAGTCATTTTTTTCAGGCCGCGCCATAGCTCAAGCGGTTAGTCACTGGTTTCCCACCGCGGCCGTCCGGGTTGGATCCCGGGTCTGGTCAAGTGGGATTTGTGGTGGACAAAATGGCGCTGGGGCAGGTTTACTCCGAGTACTTCGGTTTCCCCTGCCAATCTGCAATCCACCAATTGCTCCACAATCACCCTCACCTATCATCTAGCGCTGGTACAATAGGTCAGAAGTGGCCGCAGTACAAGGGACTTAGTCCCACCCCACTAGCAATAAAAGAAAGTAATTTTTTTCTACCGTCCATGTCTAAAAATATCCTTTCTCCACGTCCAGTGTTTTCTGGAGAAGACACTGGAAAACATAATAAGGTCTTGTCCCCATATACAGCAGATTATAATATCCACATTTTGATATTTCTCTCCAGACTCTTGGCAGGTTTGTACAGTACACAAAGGATACACATTTAATGTCTGTTTCGCCCAATGTCATTATGCTAATGCAATAAACTCATGACCCTCAAGAAAGTCTGTCGTCGGGAAGGAGAATTCAAAGCTCAGAAAGATTCAACATATAAATTACGTAGCTTTCACTTCCTGCGGGGTTCCAGTTACTTTACGCAGCTCCACATTTATGACACGAAGTTCCCAAGTACTTTCGCATTTGTGCTGAGCGAAACACCCATCTTCCCAAAACATATTTTAATAATAACATATGTTTCGATCATAATGGCTTAGCAGTCTAACGTTGTGTTCACGGATTCGATTCCTGTTGGAAGTTTGTACTGTGTACACTGCGCTGGGTCGATTCTCCAGTCACAGAGACCTACAGGCTCAGTAAATACCGCGGTGTAGTGACTGAATAACCGAGGTTCAATTCCATGCAGGAACTGAAAAATTTACAAACATTTTCGTCCAGGCGGGCTCGAAGGTCCACTCAGACACTTATCCAGTGAGTAACAAGGTTGTTTCCTCCGATGGTAAAGTAGACGGAGCGTGAGACTGATATTCATCAGGTTACGGTGGGAGAATTAACTTTTTTTTTTTTTACAATTACGGAAGAAAACAACGTATACGATTTGAGGTTTTCTCGGCGTTGAATGATAAGATTGTAGCCTCCAAAGTTGTGTTGCTGTGTAGTCGTGTAGATGGATATCCATACGTATTAATCTACAAGACTTCACGGAATCACACCCCAGAAGACTGCAATCCGATTCCATTACAAAAATCACAGCCAGTGTTATTTCTGCCTTTCGCGACAGTTTGGTGCACAACGAACGCATTGCGTTGCACGTGTGAACAGTGACTTGAGTACGTGTGTGTCTACTGTAGATTTATTATTAAGACAACGCCACCCGCTGCTGCGTACCTGAAAGCGCAGCCATAGCTAAATATGAGTAATGTCCGCGACATGACATGAGCAGCAACGGAAAGTTATCAACACAAAGATTAGGAAATGTGTGGAAAACCGTGTAAATCCTCCGAAGTTCAGAGGTCGTTCAGTACAGTCAGCTAAACTACAAATAAAATATGCAACAGTAATCTAGTTGTAGTCTTCAAATTACTTATAAGAAACTAAATTTTGGCAAATGTGAGAAAGGGAAGTGACATTCTCTATTTCCGTATATGCCTTATTAGATTCTAAAACGAAGAATTTATAAAATTACAGAGTATTATTTTCCTTTCTCACATTCTCTGAAATTTAGATAAAGTGAGTAATTAAGACCGCACTGCACTGACTCTTTTTTCATGCTGTGGGCTGGAAATTGGGCTAGTTGCAGACAGATGCCGTCTACCTAGTTCCAGAATTTTTTTAAAGAAATTGGTGTCAGTGACTTTTAACTCAACATTTAATGAGCTTGTAGACCTGAGTGACGGCACACTTTTCGCAAACTGATTCCCTTTATAAAATGGATTCATCATTCTCTGGGCTTTTCAGCTGATGTTTGTGCTGTGTCCACCAAGTTCTGAAAAGCAATTTCCATCTCTGTTTATATTAATCAAATATCAAATTCGAGTGTAACCATTTAATTTTAATTGTTATTTGTCTGTTGTCTTATTGTAGTACAACTGCCACCAGGTAAAAACCCATTTGCAGTTAAATAACAACAACAACAATAATAATAATAATAAAATCATTGGCAAAATAACTGTTTTTTTAACCATAGCTTTCCTTAGAAGATCTGCCAAATTTTCACTTTTTTGGATTTTGCAACAACAATTTTTTACCTGGAAGAGCAGGTCCTTATGTCTCCCAGTGACAGGGTGGCCCAGTCGTACATACCCCAATGCACCGGATTCCCTTTTTGTCTCCTTTTATGACTCCCAGGGCTATGGCGGAGGTATTATAACCTGCCTCCTGGCAGAAAAATTGCAGTTGCTATTTATTCAGATTGGGGTGAAGTCAAAATTTTATGCTAAATTAACACTTGATATCAATGCCTCACAATTATTACAAAATAAAATAAAAATTATATAGCCCTATAGAACTTATTTAATACAAGTCCTTAGTTTAGTCATACTGTAATAGAGCATTATATTACAAAATAAAACAAATCTCAGTTCAGTTTCATTTGTGATTTATTTAATTCTTTTATCTGTATCTCAGATCATAAGTATATAATGGTAGGGTGACAGGTGAATAATGAATTGGTAATGCTCTGGAAGGAAGCAGTCATGGCTCTGTTTAGCTGCTATCCCAGTATTTACTTGGAGGGACTGAGGAATATTGCAAGACACCTCAGATAGAACAGAGGGTTGTCTCAGCTGTGATTCAAACTGAGCACCTTCTAAATACTAGTCAGAAGCGTTTACCGCATAGTTGCTTTAAACAGTGCATTTGTTATAGTGTCGATCCATATGGTTTGGTGGGACAGTGGTTGGGAGATGCCTTAAATCCCAGTGTCTACACATATGAAGTGTCCCCTGTGTTCACTCTCATGGAAGAAACTGTCCTCTGCGAGATGCGCCGCATCGTCGGGTTCCCTGAAGGCCGTGGAGATGGCATCTTCTGTCCTGGTGGATCCATTGCCAATGGGTATGCCATCAGTTGCGCTCGTTACAACTTTGTGCCAGATGTTAAGGTGAGCACTCATTTCTCAAACTGGTCTTCAAGAGTTTTTACAGTATGATGATCAGCTTTCATCACTGAGATATTTGGTGAGTTTTGCCAGTCCCTACAGGCAAATTTATGAGTTTTATCTTAAAACACACCATGCCTACTCCTTTCCACATCCTTCCTAATTCATCATTTAAGATAAACATTCCATGAACACTATATATCCAGCACAGGTGACACAGTCTTTCTTGAAACCCAAAGGATCACATAGTATTCACATGGTCCCTATCCTGAGACAGATGAATTCAGTCCACACTCTTACACTCTCTATACTCTCTAGGATGATACTGTCATATAATGGAATGACTCTCTTCTCCTTATAGAGCAATGGAAACTATATATACCAATGCCTTAGAAACTACATACATGGCTTTTAGTCGGCAAGCGAAATATACTAACCGAGTGACCACCACTTGTCAGTGAATGCCTTAGAAATCAGTATTATTATTATTATTGGAGGGGGTGGGTTTCGCCATGCACCGCGACCAATGGTCTATTGTGATATTCTACCAGTCTCTATACCCTACCGAAACTGGTGCGTGCCATCAGTCCTGACTCAGCCAGTGAGTTCGGCCTCTACTGGCTCAGCGGTATCTAGATGCTTCCCCCATCTACCAGAGGCGTTAGAGACTATTGTTGGGCGGGAAATGTCCTTATAATTTGGCTCAGAGGCCTCCCTGAGGCATGAGGTTCTTTTACGTGCCGTGAAGCTACGACACGGGACCCACGGCTTAAAGTCCCTCCCGGAGGACTTGTTCCTTGAATTTTTCCGCCCTTAAAAATTCCACGACATCCGCTGGGTTTGAACGTGCGTACGTTGAGTCATGAGGTGGAAACGTTACCCCTAGACTACAGAGGCCGCTTAGAAATCAGTTAAGTAATGTTTAAAAATTCAGTGCCTCTATGGGTTTCAGGAGCTGGAGCACCTCTGTCTACAGCCAATGTTTAGGACACATGCAGATTTACCTTCATGTATTCATGCGTGGTGCTTTGGTACAGGAACTCTATCATTTTATTACTGCTGTTAAGATATTTATAGCGTGTGCATATTTGTAAAGCAGGACTAGTAACTGAGAGCTTCACATCTGCTGTAAAGCTCTTTCTCTTTGTCACAGAAAAGAGGTCTACATGGCCTGCCACGACTTGTTCTCTTCACCTCGGAAGATGCCCATTATTCTATCAAGAAAATGGCATCGCTTCTTGGTCTTGGTTCTGACAATGTGTACCTGATTCATTGCAACTCCAAAGGAAAAATGGATGTTCAACATCTTGAGCAAGAAATTCAGAGGGCTTTGGAGGAAGGAGCTGCCCCATTCATGGTGTCTGCAACTGCAGGTGAGAAAAACAAATTACAACTTCAACAGCGATATTAATGTGTACTAGGAATTCAAGTGCAGGATGTCTGCCTGAGCACGAACAAGAAAAGTACAATATATTTTAACACAGATGAGTTAATAACGTGTTCTGGAACAAGAAGGGTGACAATGGTATAGCATGCAGTGTACACGGAGAAAGAAAATTTTAGTTGCATGAGGCTACTTGAGAGTTCTAAATGCAGTGAGCAGGATGTTGTTAAAATGGGTCTCAGAAAAGAAGGTAGTAAAGATAAATGCTGGACAGAAGTCACTCAATGTAAGATCTAACAGGCTTTTGTAAAATCAATGAGGAATACAGAGAATATTCTGAACTGTCAAATAATTACAAACTGTTTAAGGAAGGGATAACATGAAGCTGATTTGCGGGTTCATGATTTAATTAGTTAGTTTGTTAGTTAATTTCAGTCAGTCTATGAATTCAATAAGCCGATCACAGTACCTGCGCAATCTAAGGCATGAACTGTCTTCACCCACTTCATCACTGGGATTGTGAGTTCGAATTCCACTTGAGGCATGGATGTCTGTTTTGCATTTATTCTGTGTTTATGTTGTTCTGTGTGTAGGTAGCGGCCTTGCAATGGCCTGATTCCCCATCCAAGAAGTCCTATCGACTATGTATAGATTAAGAAACTGAAAAAGTGGCCAAGGCCCACAAAGGCTGTAGAGACATAGATAGATAGTTCAATTCAATATTATTATTATTATTGGAGGGGGTTGGTTTCCCCATGCTCCGCGACCAGTGGTCTATTGTACGTCCCCCTGTGATATTCTACCAGTCTCTATACCCTACTGATACTGGTGCGTGCCATCAGTCCCGACTCAGCCAGCGAGTTCGGCCTCTACTGGCTCAGCGGTATCTAGATGCTTCCCCCATCTACCCGAGGCGTTAGAGACTATTGTTGGGCGGGAAATGTCCGTTATAATTTGGCTCAGAGGCCTCCTTGAGGCATGATGTTCTTTTATGTGCCGTAAAGCTACGACACAGGACCCTTAAAAATTCCACGACCTCCGCCGGGTTTGAACTCGTGTACCTTGAGTCATGAGGTGGGAACGTTACCCCTAGACTACGGAGGGCGCTTTCAATTCAATAAAGGCCTATAATGCAAATATGAATTTGTCCTATGTCTTCAACACAGTTCTGCAAATTATCATTTTCTAGGTACAACAGTACTTGGTGCATTTGATCCTATACCCAAAATTGCAGACATATGCTCCAAATACAAGATGTGGCTGCATGTAGATGCTGCTTGGGGGGGTGGTGCCCTTGTGTCAAAAAAGCACAAGCATCTCCTTGAAGGAATTGAAAAGTATGTATACCTGAGTTGTTAATCCAATTACATTAGGCATGTTCTTAGGATAAATGACTGAAAGCTATTCTTCCTTTCACTTGTATATAGACTGTTTCAGCTGGCATTCAATTGTAATTACAATTATTGCTTTAAACATTCTTACTTTTCTGTTCAACATTCTTTATATTGAAATAAATATACTTGAACTAAATTATCATTTATTACAACAAACCTCTAAACTGTAGCCTTTAATCTATGTGAATGGTTACCAACACACATTCAGCTTGCAACGCAAACAAGAGCAGAAAATATACTTTCACAAACATATATCGTGGGGAAATTATCATATATTTTATAGCCTTATCAGGCAGTTTTGGCTACTCATAACAGATGTGTAGCCAGAAGTGTCAGCTAGATGCTTTGTGCGAAGATTAATCTTATTAGATGTCAGATCTGCTGGTATAACATTATCAGCAGTCACGAAGGGTTTCATGTCTTGACTCAAGTACAGGAAAGCACACATGCAGCTGTACCTGGAAGCTTTTCAGGTGTTCTTCAATGTTATGTTTTACATTTTTATAGCTTCTTATCTGTTGTGATTAAAAATGTGAAAACAAGAAAGTGACTCATTGTTTGATTATTGCAACTGATAAGAACATAGGCCTAGTTCATTGATTATAACTTATATTTTGCCCAAACTTAAGCTGAATCCATTTATGTGGCTGGAAACATCAGCTATGTATATCAACTTTGCAAACCTATAAAAGTCATCAAAGCAATATGAAAATTGAAAATTTTATCGAAGAAAAACATTTTCATTTGATCTTGGAACTAGAATAGATGAAGGAGAACCTTCTCTTGAGAAAGTCAATGGATTTTTTTATGTAGAGGCAGCTAACTGTGATTACTATCCATCTCATTATATTCAGTCACAAAATGTCTTGATGACATTAACGGTTTTCATGGATTCCTCTGAAAATAATCCCATTTTCAGTCTTTGAAGCAGATGTTTGCATAGAAGTTTCTCCAACAAAATTTTGTATGCATTTCCTGTAGGTAAGCTTTGTCAAAGACAGTTGCCTACCTAAAGAAAATTAGCATTGAGACTCTATGTGTGACTGTGACTTCTTGTTCTTTCTTGTAAAATAAAGTCAATGTGTACAGGGCTGACTCTGTCACGTGGAACCCACACAAGCTCCTGACAGCCCCTCAGCAGTGCTCCACTTTCCTGCTCCGCCATGAGGGTGTGCTCTCAGCCTGCCATTCAGCCAGTGCACAGTATCTCTTCCAGAAGGATAAGTTCTATGACACCCAGTATGACACCGGGGACAAGCATATTCAGTGTGGCAGACGTGCTGATGTCCTCAAGTTCTGGTTCATGTGGAAGGCTAAGGTGAGAAGAACAAAAGAGCTACTGTATTATTTGCAGAATCTATTTAAAATGATATTTGAGCATAATATATCCTAGAAGTTGGAAATAGCAATCCATCTTCCTTCTTTCAGTGTCATAAGTGCACAGCTAAACATCTTTTAAGATGAAGATATCCATTTCTCTAATTCTCAGGGTAGGATGAAACAGAGTCTTGTGGTATTTATGCTATAAATGGTCCATTGTACCAGTCCTGGATGATAAATGAAAGAAATGGGGTATTCAGTGGAATAAGGATCGGAAGAGTAAAGTGAAGTATTTGGAGAAACCCTCCTCCATTGTCACTTTGTCCATCACAAATCTCACATGAATTTTGCTGAAGTGTGATACTGCTGACTTCCATTAATGTGCATTTCATGGTTCACATTTTTAAGTAAGATTAGCAAGCTACAAAACATTCTATTGATAATTATGTGTACTGCATTATGAAACATGCCTATTCCACTCTTGTTTATAAAGTTAGTGTTCAACCAGTACATACTCTCTTCCTATTGTTTCTACATTTCATATTTCTTTAACAGGGCACAGTTGGACTAGAGGAGCATATTGACACAGTGTTTGATAATGCTGCCTACTTTACGAAACAAATCAAGAAGAGGGAAGGATTCCGCATGGTATTACAGGAACCTGAGTGCACTAACGTATGCTTCTGGTACATCCCTCCCAGTTTGCGTGGCCATGAAGACCAGTCTGACTTCAGTGAAAGGTTACACAAGGTACGTAAAAATTTCTTTCTGCCTCCAACACTTCTGTGACATACTGATCTCTCTGGCTTGTTGTGACTGGACTTCAATTCTGAGGTGGGAGTGCTCGTAAGACAGGAATTAGTATAACCTCAATGATGGGGTGGTGATGAAGGGATGGCAGTCAGCAGGTACCTATGGTTTCAATATGCAATCCAGAAACATGATGGGAATTTGGTATTCCTTGAATTGATGAAGTTCTGAATTTGTAACATATGAGGATGGGAGAAGACATGTGTAAAAGGTGCCAGAATCTTTTTGCAAATGAAATGAGTAATTTACTCCTATACTACAATCAGTCTGTGCAAGGAACAGACACCAACAGACACTGGCCAGGTGCAATATAATACTGGCTTCCTATCTCTTCCTTTCTAATCTCAGTTTCATTTTGTTTTCTCTCTTTTTCAGTGCTATTATTTTCATTACTTGTACTACATAAATCTTTTCCTAGTTTTGCATGTTTTTGTCATTATGAAGGAGTCTAGTTCCATATTTTATTTGTCCATTTTGTTGCAAGCAATTACCAAAGATATATAATGTTACTTAGCCCTTTTATGTCAGATTTACTGACCACAGTTTCCTCAGTTCTTACTGCCTCTTAATCATTTAATGGTGCCTTCTCAACGGCATAGATTATATAGCATCAAATGGGAGGATGAGGAGGATATGGTCATGGCATATTTTAAGATACTATTCCATCATTTTCATGGAAGGACTGAAGAACAGTAGAAAAGTACGCAATAAAATACCTGGCATCAGGGCTAAGAACAAAATCCAGACCTTAAAAAAGTGGACCAACTGTGCTAACCATTCAACATTACATGTTCTCTATATTCTCATAAGCTCTGTGCCAAAATTTACATCACCACATAATAAGTAAACAGCTGAGTAAGTCTGAGGTCTGGCATAGAATCTCAGACTCATCAGTGTAAGACTGAATGCTCCCTGCTGACAATATATATCTTACTTCAGTATCAAATTATATTCTTTCACTATTCTTCAATAGGTGGCACCCAGAATCAAGGAGCGAATGATCAAGGAAGGGTCAATGATGGTGACTTACCAACCACTACGAGACCAGCCCAACTTCTTCAGACTGGTCCTGCAAAATTCTGGTTTGGACTGGGCTGATATGGACTATTTTGTGCAGGAGTTTGAAAGGCTTGGCAGTGATCTGTAACATATAGATCAAATTACTTGCACTGTAACATATCATGAGAGTAATTTGGAAATGCTGGATCTAGATTTGCTCATTGAAATACATCTTTGTTGTCACTGTCAAAGAGAGGAAGTCTGTAGAATCTGTGGTGTTTAATGGTCTTTGTAAGGATAATTATTTTTTACATTAAGCTGAGCATTCTAACACTGGATTCACAGTGCACATATAATAATGTTTAAATGCCAGTCAGTAACTGGTTCATGAATTGTAACCACGTACTAGCACAGAAATTCTGCATAAGTAATGTGAATTTAATGGTGACCTGAAATAATTGCTAAATTTGGGAAGTCTGGTGCCCTGGTACATCTGTTTTTAGAGGTCATTATATGATTGTTGCTATACACATGCCCAGAATCACAGGGTATTTGTTCGAATTTGAATGAAATGTGAAAGGTTTGGATACTGAAATAAAATATTTACTTCATAGGTATCTATTCCTGTTATGTTATGAAACATGAGAAGTTAACAGCAGGGTCTCAAAACAAGTGCACCACCACACCCTGGATAAAGCAATCCTGTCTAATGTCTAGGAAGAAACAAAACTACTGGCATATCATAAGACATTTTAAGGAATATGTATCATAAGAAATAACAACACATACCAGAAACAGATTACTAAAGATACTATTTCCAGGGCTTTAATCAAATATTAAGAGAAACTCCAGTGTAAAGACCACAGACACCACATTCTGTCAACATAGTCAACTTGTATTAAATGTTTGTTTTATAATGGTTCCTATGTTGTAAAATTGATGTGGCTGCAGTGTAAATATAACATTTAAGGTTGAAATACAAACAAGCTAGGTGTAGAAGTCTCAACGGTGATAAATATAAGAGAAAATGGCATTGAAATATAAGATTACATGTATTTGAGTAATGAGCTTAAACCTAACACTATAATGAAAACTTATTTTCTACTGCCAAATATCAATTAATTTATTAAAAATATATACAATTGGTGTTCACATTTTATATATATTTTTCTGACAATTATGAAAATGCTTGTTATGATGCATGGCACTGCTTGGGACTCAGTATGCTGACTGCAATGGATGCTGATATAAGAAAAATACTGAAACCACTGAAGACAGAGGGACCATTGATGTGATGCAGTGTAGTCCGGTTAATATTTACCATTATTTAGGAATATACTGCCTTCATCTTCAGGGTTTATGTGAGCTAAATTGTAAAGGGGCTGGTTATACCAAAGAAGAGAATTGAACTGGGTCTCAGAGATTACGAATGGCCAGCAAGAATCAAGGATGTAGAAGAGGGATTTTGTGCAACTACAACATGACATGCAGGAAGAAAAGCAACAATCTATCCTTTGCAAGACACCCCATTTTCAGGGCCTACTGTTCCCACTGGTCAATTTGGCTCTTCCTCCTTTTTCTTCTTTCCCATCCAAGTTCTCATTTGCCACTCCTGTGCTCTGTGACCTCTCTCTTCTTCTATATAACCAGCCATTTTGCTAATTTTGCACATTCCCTGAAGATGGAGGCAGTGTGTTCCTCTAACATGTTGGTTAACTGTCTGTGAGAATACAAGGTGTCATATTCCAGAAGATGCAAAAGCTTTGTTTGTCACCTGCATCTTGCTGACTTCTTACTTGCCTTACTATTCAGCTGTTAAAATGGAGGCACTGTATTCCTCCAATATATGAGTTAACTTCTACCAGAATACACAGTGTTAAAACATGGGAGACAGTACATCGTATTCTTCATAGTTACCACCATGAGAACCTCAAATTCAACATCTGTATTTATTGCTTTCATAAAGGCTGGTCTCTGACAGGCAGTATAAGCAGTTTTTAAAGTTGAAAGAGAGAAGTGAAACAAATCAACAAAATATGTAATCAAATAAATAATTGCATTGGGAAAATGCAAAAACACTTTTATATAGATTCTTCAAATAACTCAATTCAGTAATAACTGGTTACATCTTGGATGACTGGGATTTAATTTCTGACAGAGATCATGATTTTTTGTGTGCACTATGTCCAGAATATTCCTGATATCATCTCATTCTCCGATGCATATCGTATACAAGGCTCCTTTCCCAGATGTAAAGCAGCCACAACACGAAGCTGACTGCTCATAGCAATCTAGTGCCATGGGCTAGAATATGTGGAGTTACACTTCTACACTCACCTGGCATGGTGTGCAGACACAAAGACTGCTTTCTTTTTCTTACTTCATATTTATAAACAGTAAATAATTGCTTTGATGGACTGTTAATATTTATTTCTTTATGTTATTTAGAATATAGATATTTAATCAATTGCACCGATTCATTCAAATAAAAGAGTAAATTGATTCATTATAGGTACTGAGCGTAAAATCTGCCTGGATCCATTGAAATCTCTCTATATGTTCATAACCAAAGCACCATCCGCACATGATAAATGCATAATTTGATGCAAAATACTGGTGGAATGAAATGACTTTAAATTTTACTCACAGCAGGCATCTAATTAAGTAACTCGTACAAAAAGAAATCAGTTATGATGTGAAGTTCTCTATGCTGTATATACCAATACAGCTTATTACATATTTTATTTATATTATGTAATTTGTGCAGTATTCTGTAGAATAAAATCCATATACAGTATTACAGTACCAATACTTGCTTTCCTCTGAAATTCCTAAAGAACTCTTTTAGAGAAGGCTGTGAGTCTCCCATCCCATGATTCAAATACAAACATAAGTTTTATACAAAGTGCCCTTGGGGAGGGGGAGGCTCTGAGACCCACCTAGCCTATACAGTGGGTACTGGGGGCTGTTTTCTTGGTATTAAGGCAACCAGAGAGTGAATTTAACCACTTTCCTCCATCTAGTTCTGAGGTCAAGAATGGTAGTACTATGCTCCACCTCTCACATATTTCTTTATGGCATGGTGCTTAATTAATCAAGCCTGGGATAACTTCACTCATTATGTTGAATCCAGCACTGTAACTCACATGTTCAGAAGTACAACTCTGAGACAATGAACATACTTGGTGTTGGTGGTACTCCGAAATGTAGCACCAATGCTTCACATTTGGGATGACCTGGGTCCAAGTACCCAAACACATGAAGATTACTCTATCCTGGGACATAATTTGGCAGATCTTTACCAATGTTTCAGGTGACCATGCTTTCTCCATCTTCAGGGTAGCAGACCACACACTGACTAAAGCATTTATCGGTCCATACAAGCATGAGCTGCTGATTTGCCTAGACATGATCACACTGTAGTTCACAAATGTTTGTAACAAACATTCAGCCACTTAATAACTCTGTTGTTAGAAGAATTCTGCTTAGTGAACCTCAAATCATGTGGCACACATGGTTACCATCATAATAGATTCTACCATCTCCACAAGACAAAATTGCAATATCTAGATCAGTAGTAACCAAACCCTTATCATGTCCAAGGGGTTCTGGCAATGGTGTATAATACTCAGAATTACTGGGTTTTTGGACTTCATCCATCATCTGGTATTCTAGAAACTAGAAGACACAAAGTTTCAGAAACTGGATCTGTCTCCATCCTCAGGTGTGGAGGGAAGTCACCTACTCTGTTGGGTCTCTTAGAAGGAGTTTCTGAAACGACACATTTCCTAGTTTCTTGAATACTGGACAATGGACCAAGTTCAGAAACCCAGCAATTCTTACTTATCATGTCTGTGTTAAAATTACAAATCTGAGCAGAGTGTGGCACAACTTTGGATATTACAACTTCCATGAGACTACGGCATTATTCCAAATATTCTGATCACTTGAAATAAAAGCAGATGTCTTCTGTCATTAATGTCAGGCACAACACAATGATGTCTCTTCAATTATAATTTTGTTACCTTCATGTTTCATATTCTGTCTAAAATTCACTGAATGTTATGGGTAATTTTGTACCTGCAGTTTTTGATATGGAGGTCTGTGGATATTTTTAAGATCAAGAGGATTTCAAAGACAAAATTATTGTCAAAACATGAGCCTAGATAATATTACAGGTCTATGTTGCGAAAACACAACACAATTTTGCGTTTCCCATAAGATTTTGATTTTAATATAGCATATAAGTGCAAATATCATTTAATTGGAAGGTCAGTAAGTTGGCAACACTGATTTTTGTCTTAAAAAAATTAAATTAAACTTAAAGCTTCTACATTTGTCTTAGGTTGTAAGGTGGGATCTGTTGATTGAAGAGTTTTCAGATTTTGTAACAAAGACAGACGGGATAGTGCAGTCGGTATAGCGACTGGCTATGGGCTGGAAGACTGAGATGTCAGAGTTTGAGTCCCGGTAGGGTGAAGAATGTTCTCTTCTCCACGTCCTGACTGGCTCTGGGACCCACCCAGCCTCCTATTCAATGGGTATCAGGGGCTCTTTCCCCGGGGGTAAAGCGGCCGGGACATGATGCAGACCACTCACCTCCAACCAGTGCCGAGGTCAAGCAAATGTTGATATATATAGTGTATATATCCACTCCCCCATATGCCTTCATGCCGTAGTGCCTGGCTAGTTAAGCACAGCAACAACTTCATATTTTACACACAGAAGGCAGGGGTAGGAACCTTGATGGGGAATTAGGTTACAATAAAAGAGTTTAAAATTATCACTTCAATGAGTTCATCCTCTTTGGCCAAAGAACAATGCATTACCTTAAATGTTAACTTCAAACAGTTACATTTGCCACCCAAATATGTATGTGATGACACTTCCACCACTACACAATGTAACAAATTCTTCGTTTCAGTAATTTGAATGGGGGGGGGGAGTCACCCTGTGTCAAAATTTTCTTCCTTAAGTTGATGAAAATGAGCAGCTGGCACTCGTTGTGTGCATGAAAGAGCTCCATTAAGTACAAACTGGTATAATGCCCCTTGTTAGGGGAATTTCAAAACCACCTGTTAGTTTCATCATGCCTGTCCAGGAGCCTTAGCGCCAAAGTACCTGACCGATATTTATTAAACTCGATATTGTACAGAATCTTATCATGATATTTTTGCCTAGGTACAGTCTGTTTTATTTGTAATGCCCATGCTACTTGCTAGCATAAAACAACTTTTAAATTTTTAAAATTTCTGTATTTTCTAATCCTTTGATCGATTTTGATGAAACTGGACACATGACAATTACATCATATGAATATTACCATCTGTAAATTTCACTCACTTCAATTACTGTTAAAGGCCACATCACTTAAGGACCTGAAAACAAGGTAACACACTGCAAAAACTTAGATAACAGAAAGACAAACGTCATGCATATATGAAACACACATTTGAAAATATGTATATATAATACTGTATACTACGTACTGGGAGCCGGGATAACGCAGTCGGTGTAGCGACTTGCTATGGGCTGGACGACCGAGGAGCTGGAGTTCGAGTCCCGGTAGTGGCAAGAAGTTTCTCTTCTTCTAGTCATTCATACCGGTTTGGGGCCCACCAAGCCTCCTATTCAATGGGTACCTGGGGCTCTTTCCCCGGCGATAAAGAGACCGGGGCATGAAGCTGACCACTCACCTCCAACTAGTGCCGAGGTCAGGAAAACATGGATCTGTACATTTATTGCCCCATACGTCTTCATGGCGTAGTGCTTAATTAGTTAATATACAAAAAAAAAAACCATAAGATCCGAGTCCTTACTGAGGAGAAGTGAGAAGACATAGAGGTCAGAGAGACTGGGGTGTCAAAGCTTAGTGCAAGAATGGCACCACAATTGCTGAAGCTTAGACCCTGTAAAACAACAGCAATCTCTGCCTCGCGATCCAGCTAGCAGTTGGTCTCTACAGTCTTCTCATCGAAGTTTAGATCGATCCGCAATTGACAGGGGCAGGTTTTCCAACATCTCCTGTGATCTGCGAATTGTAACTAGTCAATCCCGAAAGTTCTCGGCCAACAGGCATATTGACTGATCCTCAAATTTGTATGCGCCTTGCAAACGGCAGTGCACGTTTCGCCGTGAACGGGCCAACAAAAGTAAGAACCTCCTTCTCTGTGTGTGTGTGTGTGTATGGTAAAAAGGTAAAGCTATCCCTATTCTTAATTGATTAATCATTACGCCATGATAACATACAGTTTAGTGGAGGTACAGCTTCACGGCTTGGCCGCTTTACCTCCAGGGAGACAAGGGACTGGGTGGGCCACAGAATCGGTCTGGAAGTTCTGGATAAAGTCTATTAACCTTGCCGGGAATCGAA